CCTGGTACCATAATGTGCTAGTCTGGGTTGACCAGAGATACAAACCATGAAGAGGGGGAGCGGACACTTGTCTGACCTTGGCCTCATGGTGGTGTTTCTGCTTGGGCTGGCCTGAGGCCAGGCATGGCCATGCAGTTCACTGAGTTGTTTCCTGGAAAGCATATGGGAACTTAAAGTTTTGATTCTTTTCCTTGGTTGTTGTCCTTGGTTATTCCTGTTTGAAATGACGAATATGAAGGTAATAAATGCAAATTTTTAGCTCAGGACAAAATCACCCCTTAAACTTCTCTGAGACCATTCTGCTTAGTCAAAACGGCTGACAGAAGGCCCCCACCTTCGCTTGATACAGCCAGAGGCCTGAGGGCATATTTCGTACCAATAGAATAGTTTAGATGAGGATTTCGATAAGATTGATAAAGATTGAACTTGACTACTTTAAGAATTGAGTTTAGGGTCTGGCTGTATTGGCTTTATACTGATTTCTTCTACATATTGTTATGGATATCACGTATGACAGAAATGATGATTGGGAAGTAAAAATACAGTCTGTGAGCCTACTTGCCTTCACACATTAAATTGGATCTTTAAATGGGTTAGGCCACACCTGCAAAGAAGGCTCTGAAAAGATAAGCCCCACCCAGTGCCTTGAGTTCTGAGTACATTTGCATTTGAAGAGACTTGCCTCCAGGCCATTGACCATTGATAGACTGAAGAAGGAAAAAGGAACCCCTTCACTCTTTTGGATTTTGAACTTGTGGCCTGTGCCTGAAGCTGAAAATATTTGGAGCCATGGGAGGAACTCTCCTTTGTAGGACCGAAGGTTAAAGGGAGTCTCTGGGCAGCTTGAAATGAGCTAGATGACCACCTGGATCCACCTGTTGAGTGGAAGTGCTAGAAATGGAGCAATAGAGAGATGGGTTGAGTCTGGCCACTGACACCCATGGACATGGTTCACAGGGACTAGAGGAGGAGACAAGAGTGGGATGGCTGGTCTGCAGTTCATGACCTAGCCCCATGGGGCTAGGGTTGTTGAGGATTTTGGACAGGGCCCATGGTCCAAAGGTGAGGCAACCAATGGGCACCCTGGTGAGGCTAAGTGAAACAGCCCACGTTGAATTGACTAGAACCCAGCCAGATGAAGATGAGATTTTTGAGCCTGTGAACTGGTGCATATTGCTGCTGACTTTATGGAAGGCCTGTCCTGATCTGACTTTGCTTATGGATGTGGGTTCACCAGGTTCCAACTGGAATGAAGATTCTTCACATCAAAGAACATGATTGTCGCCTCAGAGCACTGGGTTGATATAAGTGGCCAGTATAGAAAGTGGATACCCAGAGTTGGGGGGATAAAGGCATGAAGTGACTGGCTTACAAATGTTCATAGGTGAGGGAATGTGTTTATAGAAATACAGGATTATGGTGTAGGTGTTCACAAAACTGCAATTGTTAAGCATGGAATATTTTTGTTTTGTCACTTATAGAGTATCATGTTTAAATGAGACCGGCACATTTTGAGTTCTATGCTTTTTGGTTTTATCCTGTTAGACACAAATATGATTTTACCATTGTCCTTGTTCTAGAAATTATGTATGGCTAAAGAGTTGTGCAAAGGGGTCAAGTTGACAAGAGGTGGTCTGTGGTAGTTACAAAATGTCCTATCAACTTGATAAATACATATAGGGGTGGAACCTAGCCTGTCAATCAGGTCACAGTTTGATGAAGCCTCTTTATGGGTGTGACCTTCTCATGAGGATTCTGGGAACTTCCTCTCCTCCCTGGAGATAGGCCACATTCTCTCTGCTTCACCTTCCTGTTGAGGAGGCACACTCAGGGAGCTGCAGGAGCATCACGCCAGCACCAAAATGCTTCCACTGCCACTGGATCCAGCAGACTTTTCACCCACTGGCCTGTGACCTTCCTGTGTTCAGCATCATTGCATGTGTTACATGGGTCTGAAGAGGACTTATGGACTAGTATCAGACATATGGGTTACTATCAGACTTCTGGACTCTACTGGGATGTTTTCTCAATATACAATTACTCTGTGATATAAAGCTCTCTCTTACACACATGTGAGTTGTGATATATAGGTTGATTGTGCAGTTACATTATCTGTCAACTTGGGAAGGGGTGGATTGTAGCCAGTCAATCAGGTCATAGCCAATGAGGCCGCTGTGTGGGCATAGCCTTCTCCTGAGGATTCTTGGAACTCCTGTCATCCTCCCTGGAGGCAGGACACACAGACTCTCTGCTACACATTCCTGTTGACAAGCCAGATGGAGCTACACTAATGGAGCCAAAGCCCTGGAGCTGGGGGAGCCACATGAAGACCCACGTCAGTGCTGAGATGCTTCAACCACCACTGAATCCACAAGACTTTCCACTCACTGGCCTGCGATCTTCCTGTATTCAGCGTCACTGCATGTGTTGCCGGAGTCTGGAGAGGACTTTATAGCCCGGTATCTGATATATGGGCTAATATCGGTCTTATGGAGTTGGCCTGGACTGGGCTGGGATGTTTTCTCAATATACAATTGCTCTTTCATATAAAGCTCTTTCCTATACATATGAGTTTCCCTGAATTTGTTTCTCTAGTCAACCCGGACTAACACACAAGGTTAACCACATCCCTAGGTTATGGTCAGAGGGGACTTACCAGAGGCTTACTTCGTGTGGGGACCCTACAAACGAATGCTGGGCTTCCACTGTCATCAATAGCCCTCTGCACACCAGGTGTTCACAATTTAAACTCGGATACCCCTCCTTTGGATTTGGATTTTATTGTTTACAATCGTTGGATCACACCAGCTGGTGTGCTTCTTCCTTGTGAACTTAGTTGGCACCTCACGAAGATGGCTGCTTGTTTGAAGACAAGTCTTTAAGACCTTAGACCAGTGGCTCTCAACCTGTGGGTCGCGACCCCTTTGGGGGTCGAGCAACCCTTTCACAGGGGTTGCCCAATTCATAACAGTAGCAAAATTAGTTATGAGGAACTGTATTAAAGGATGGTGGCATTAGGAAAGTTGAGAACCACTGCCTTAGAAACACTATTTCTGATGGGCCCACACCATCTATTTTCTTCACCACACTGCTATAGCACCTCTATCATCAGAGGCACCGGCATTTAAATGCCAGCGTCATCAGAGCTTCCAGACCCAGGCAGACTAGGAACAAAAACCTGGCTGTCTAGTCTCGAAAACCAGGGACTAGGAATCCCCCAAGGGAACCTGACAGAACACTGCCGGCCACCCGCTGCAAGAAGCTCGGCCAGGCGAGCTGACCCACAGCGAGGACGGTCACGACGGGCGGGCTTTCTTCCTGCTGGGGGGCAGGCTGATGGTAACCAGAACAAAAGGCTCTTTACAGCCGGCTGCCAGGGTCTTGGAGGCCCTGGATGACCCTCTCAGTGTCGCTTAAGCAAAGAGGTGACTGGTAGTTGGTGTCTTGCCCCATATTGATTTTTGTTGTTGTTGGGGGAAGTCTCTATTCCAGGCTGGCAGGCCCCATATCCCCAATGACCCGCTGGGCTGTAGCCCAGAGCGGACGTGGACTCATTCTTCCAGCGCGTGTCCCCCTTTTCCAGGCATACTGGACGCTGTCCGCTTCTCCCAGGCGCTTGGCACCTCTGGGAATGAATGAATGAATGAATGAATGAACCAGTAGAAGAATAACCGCCGTGGCCCAGCAGGCTGCCCTGTGACTCGGTGGGCTTCGTCTAGTGGCGGCGTGGCCCGCGGACCGGACTCGCACTCAGGTGGGGCCGGGGATGAAGCCTGTCCAGAGGGGCAGGGTCGGCAGGCTTCCCGGAGGCGGCGGCCTCTCGCATGGCTAAATGAGAGGGCAAAGCCGGCGAGTGGACACGCGACTGGCCGCGCCAGACTGGCCACGGTACGCACGGGCCCGTCGGGCCACGTCTCCGCCCCTCGCGGCCGCCCTCGGAAGCCACGCCTTCTCACTTGCGGCCCCGCCTCCACCTCGCGCGGTCAGCGCGCAGGCGCAGGGAGCGGCGGGTTCCGTGACGTCATTCCGCGCCGGATCTCGCCTCTCGAGGCGTCGCGCTGTGATTGCGTCGCCATGGAGCTAAAGGCTGGTGAGAGGCGCGGAGCGGTCGCTGGGCGGTGGAGGAAAGCGGAGGGCGTGGGAAAGGTCCCCGGGGCGCGCGGGCTGGGTCGCCCCTGCTGGGCTCCGCGCCGATCGTGGGAAACTGAGCCTGCGGCGGCCTAGACTCCGGACACCAGCTGAGCCTGCACGCTCAGGGGGCTCTCCTGGGGTCGAGCCTGGGCTGCTGGCAGCATTGCCCGGCAGAGAGAGCCGCCAGCAAGCCACTCCGACCTCTGGACCCCGGCACACTGGGCAGGATCACGGCGCCAACCCCACCGCCGCCGTGCCGATTCCCACTCAGAGCCAGTCCATAGGGTTTCTGAGGCTGTCATCTGGACTGGGGCTGACCGCCAGGCCTTTCTCCCGCAGAGCAGCTAGCTGGTGGGCGCCAGCAACCCGTTTCTTCAACAGGCAAGCGATTAACCACTGCACCACCAGAGCTCCTGATGACAGCATACCCCCACCGTCGTGCGATGGGGACTCTTGGGCTACCCCATAGGAGAACTGGAGCGGACAGGCTCGCACCAGTGGTTGTGGGTGGTCATTGCAACCCATGGTGGAAGGCAGCCTGTGCTAGGGGTCAGCTGGAGCTTCAGACAGAAGGGTGAAGGAGACCCAGGCTAATCCTAAATCTCTTGGTGGGAGGAGTAATAGGCCATTATAAGCCAGGGTTCAGACATTTTACCAATGCCATCACCTATTACTAAAAGTTGGACACTGAAGAAGAATCGATGCATTTGAACTGGGATGCCGGCGAAGATACTGAAAGTACCACGGACTGCCCAAAGGACCGACAAATCTGTCTTGGAAGAAGTAGAGCCAGAATGCCTAGACAACGGTGGCGAGACTTCATCTCACGTACTTTGGACATGTCAGGAGAAACTAGTCCCTGGAAAAGGCATCATGCATGGTAAAGTGGAGGGATCGTGAAAGCGAGGCAGACCCTTGACGAGATGGACTGACGCAGCGGCTGAAGCCTAAGAAGAACTGTGAGGACCGCACAGTGGTACTGAGAACTGACTTACTGGCGCCTAGCAACCGCATGACTACTCACGCCTCATGTTGGTGTGAGTTTCCCCAGCCAGGAACTTGTCCTTCCTTGTATTTCTTGTCGCCAGCTAGTCGATTGGTAAAAAATTGGAGCCCATTGTTGTAGGATGTCCTTTCCCAGGCACGGGTCTGCCCTGATCACATGAGATAAAGCTATGGGTCTTCTGACAGTCTGTGGTATTTTAAATATTTTTCACCAGCACCACAATTCAAGTGCATCCATTCTCTAGTTTTCCTTATTCAGTGTCCAACTTCCACGTGCATATGAGGCGATGGGAAACACCGGGGCTCAGGTCCTGCACATCTCAGGCTTCCAGGTAACATCCTTGCCATTCAACACGTGAAAGAGATCGCCTACAGCAGATCTGCCTAATGCAATGCGGCATTTGATCTCTTGACTGCTGATTCCAGGAGCATTGGTGTGGATCCGGGCAAAATGACATCCTTGATAACTTCGGTCTTTTTTCTATTCATCGTGAAGCTGTCTGGTGGTCTAGCTGTGAGGAGTTGTTCTTTTTTCTTTTTTTTTTTACATTGAACTGCAATCCACATGGAAGGCTACCCCATCTTTGATTTTCACCAGTAAGAATTCTGCCTCCTAAAGACCCTATACATTCCGTCTCACGGAGACCCTACGTGGGGGTCTGAAGACAGACAGCCTTTATGGTTGCAGACAGCCTAGTCTCTCCCGCAGAGCCACTTGCTGCTGTAAAGGTGACAGCCTGGGGAATCCTATGGGACAGTTCTATTCTGCCGTGTGTGGCGTCGCGTGAGTTGAGTTAGACCTTAGAGCAGTGGGGTTGGGAGTTGACAGTATAACCAACCGGGGAGTCTGGGACCGACGCCACCAAGATTTGGGTCCTTTGTACTCGATAGATAAGATCCGGCCCTTTGTTGCTATAGGTGCCACCAAACAGGACATCCGAGAGCAGATCTGGGATTACATGGAGTCAAAGAACTTGGCCGACTTTCCCCGCCCCGTTCACCACAGGATCCCTAACTTCAAGGTACGAAAAGGAAGCATTTCTAGAGTCCTCGTGGGACTGCAGAACCCTCGGGCTGGGGCAGGCAGGATCGGGCGCTTCCTGTGACTTGGCTCTCCCACCGGTGGCCATGCACCGGTCTTTTCTTGGAATGGGGCGGTGCTAAGGCTCCTGTTTCCTCTGAGGTGCTAAGTACAGCCTACACCCTGGCTGGAGGCGTGGTGGGGTCGCGGTGGCTCCCCCAGGCTTCGTGGAGGGGGCCTGGCTGGTCTCTTTCCCCATTGGTTGCCTTGCTGGCAGCTTCTCCAGGCACCTCCCAGCTAGGGAGCTGCTCAGTCATCCCTGACCCTCGGTGATGGGCACGGCTGTTAAAAACAGGGTGCGCCGCGGGCTGCCGAGCACCTTCCCCGCCTGCAGGAGTTCAGTGTGGCCAGAACTGTTAAAGTGAACCCCGACGCGCCCCAGAGAAACGCCCGCTTCGCCGTCCTTGAAGTAAGTGCCCCTCCGTCTGTCCTCCGCTTAGGGGTCTCACCTGGCAGGCCAGAACATCAAAGAGCTGGAAGCTTTTGGCAGGACGCAGGAAATCAAAGTAGACCCTGATAAACCGCTGGAAGGGGTGCGGCTGCTGGCACTGCAGGTAACCCACTCCCCGAGGGGAGGCCGGCCCGCATACTGCGTGGACGTGTGCGTGTGTGCGGGCCTCGCTTCAGTGCACTGGGCTCACCACCCCCGGCCTGGGAAAGAGCGTTCTAGTAGCCTCTCTTTGAGCGGTCAGTCGGTCAGTCAGAAGCCCCAATTATGCCTGATCAACTCAGCGTAAAGGGTGCTGGGAAGGCTCACGTGGAGGCCTTTCCTATGCTGAGGTCCCTCTCCGGAAGAAAAAGGCCATAGTGCGCATGCTTCTTCCATAGTTATCAGGGTCTTCTGTGGAGCTTGGTCACGCGCCCCCAGAATGTATCTTGGGCTGATGTCCTCCGCCGACTCACGTGGCCGCAGGGGCTGGCGAACCCAGAACCCGCAGGTCGGGAGATGGGCTGGAAGCCTCTGCTGGCTGGCATCCCCGAGAGCCAGAGGTCAGACACCCAGAAATCAATGAGCGGGCAGGAGCCTGGCTTTTGGACAGCCTCCACTTAATCTGATGGACACAGGCCACACCCCCAGGGAAACGCCCCTCCCAGCTGATTGGCTGTTGTCCTCAAAGCCCGGGCGGGCAGTCTGTGGACTGACCCGGCCATGACAGCTCCGCGCTGCACTGCCACAAGGCGTTTCCCTGGGGAGACGGACCCTGATGCTAGGGGTCACCTTGGTTCTGCTGCAAGAGCGCCGCACCCCCGGACTCTTCCAGAAGCATGTCTTCGGTCCCATGCCCCGGCCGCTGTATCACTGGCGAAACAGGAGCAGCCCCGACGGCATCTCTGGGGCCTGTGACCCCCGCCGCGGCCATGCTGCCTGACATTCCAAACGTGCAATGTCGCCCCCACCCACTCCTGCAGAACCCCGTTGTCCCCCCGAGCGGAGGCCCCCAGGAAGCTCGCCGTCACCAGGTCCCTGGTTTTGCACGCAGGCGCACCTGCAGAGACGTCTCACGCGTGCACATAGGGATTTATGCATGTAGGGATTTATACCTCGGGACTCGCAATCCCAGGTGGGCCCCATGTTGTAACGCGTGGGACCCTTTTCCTCGAAGAGCCGCAAAACGTTGTTGGTTCCCACGCCGAGGTTGAGGACTGGGCTGTTCAACCGGATCGTGCCGCCGCCAGGGGCCGGCAAAGACGTCCTGCGGGCATGCGCCACCGCGCAGGTGAGTGCAGGGGTTAGGGGACGTCGGGGGCGGGGGGCGGGGATGTGGCCTGGGTGGGGGAGGGGGATGTTCCACCAAGTTCTCAAAAACTCACTGTCACGGAGTCAGTGCCAATTTGCAGCACCCCTACAGGGCAGTGGACCTGCCCCCTCTACCCCCCACCCATCATCTTGTGGGCTTCTGGGACTGTAATCTTTAGGGGCAGGGAAAGCCTCGTCATTGCCCCTCGGAGCTGCTGGTGGTCTCGAACTGCCGACGTGGAGGTTGTGGCGTGGAAGCCTCAGCAAGGGAGACAGGACCAGGGAGAGGAGTGGTGGCGCTGTGGCGCCCTCTAGCGGCCGCCTGCGGTGCCACTACAGAACCTTGGGAGAGGTGACCTGTCCACGTGTTGCTTAGCAACCAGGCCACTTCCCCTTGGGAACTGGGCAAATGGTGCCCTGTTCAAAGATGGCAGCCGGCTGCATCCCCTGGAATGTGGTTGGCGCTGTCCCCACTGCCCTCTAGCTGGTGCCAGTTTGTAGCAAACCAATAGGACAGGGTAGGACCGCCCCTATGGGTTTCCCAGGCTGTCACTCCCTATGGGGGGGGGGGGGGTCTTTCATCAGAGTAGCAGGTGACCTTGCCATTAGCTGCCCATCCCAGCCCCCACTGCGGCACTAGGGAGAGAGGAAACCCAGCCGCAGGGTTTCTGAGGCAGTCAGTCCCTTCCAGGAGCACCTGCTTTGTGTCTCCCCCAGGGAGGCGGGTGGGCGTGAGCCATCCACCTTGCTGTGAGCAGCACCGAGGTTAGGGTAACTCACTGCCCCACCAGGATGCCCACTCTGGGACCTAGGTGACATCTGGTTGCTATGGCACCCGCCCACTGCCCTGGCTCCAGGTGACCAGGGCTGAACTGCTGGCTCGACCCCACTCTTGGCGCCCCCGGAGCTCTGCCCTCCGACTGGTTTCTCAAAAGTAGGCCTCCAGGCCTACTTCCCAGATGCCTCTGCGTTCACTCACACTGCCAGCCTCACCAGCTGTTTGTCACTCATATCTTAAAAACTCCCCAGCAGGGTGCCCCATGTCCACCCGGTCCCCACATAACTCACCTATCTTACAACTCAGTAGTTCAATCGTTCAGTCATACTCAAGCACATCGATTTCAGAGCATCCCCACCCCCCGTAGCTTCCTACGTGTTTACAAAACCTGTGATGTGCTGAAGGCTCGCCGAGCAGGTGGTGCACAGCCTGTGCACGTTCGGCCTTGGCAGTCCCTCCACAGGCCCACCGTTCCGACGGGCCGTTTCCCAGTGCTGCAGTAGTTACTTCCGTCCCCCCAACCTGACGGCTGTCCGGTGGGGCGGGCGCTGGTGACCCCACTCTCCACGAGGGAACTGGCACTCTGACAGACCCATACCTGTCACCGGCCTGTACTTAGTTCCTGTCCAGTGACCTCTCACCTCCCGGAAAGGCTGGCTGGTTAACCACCGTCAGACAGGCGTCCTGCGCCTCTGTCCTGGGCCGCCCTCCTGGAAGGAAGCGGTGGGCCACAGCGGCCAGGCAGCTGCAAGGACGGGCAGGTCTCCCTTGTTGCGGGGCGGTGGGCGTGTGGTCCCCAGGGAGGCGCGCAGTCAGCTGCAGGAGGGCGGAAGGGCTGGAGACTCGGGACTGTTTGTTTCAGGGGGTGCGGAACTATAGTGTGCCCATCGGCCTGGATGCGAGCGTCCTCGTGGATATGGTTGTGGTGGGCTCCGTGGCTGTCTCCGAGCAAGGTGAGCCCCTAGGGCGGGTGCTAGGGACCCTCAGCCCGTCCGCACACTGCCCCACTGCCCGCCCACGCTCCAGCGCTCAGAGCCCAGACCAGCCAAACACGCTTCCTGTGAGTGACCGCCCCCGTGATTAAAAGATAAATGGTATGGCAGAGGGGACAGTAGCCACCCCCAGGGCCACTGTCAGAGGCCATCAGGTCATTCCCAACTCACAGAGGCCCCATGTCCACCCGGTCCCACGCCATCCTCAGAGCCGTCGTGTCTGAGGACACGGTTGCAGAGCTGTGTCCGTCCACCTTGTCACGGGCCTTCCCCTCACGTGGCCCGCGTTGCCTGTCAGGAGCACTCGGCCATCTGCAGGGCCAGCAGTGTTCTGTGCTCCCCGGGAACCCCAGAGCATCGAGTGTACACTCTTCCTCACACCCATGCATGCACCCACTGCCTCCCGTCGAAGCTGACTCAGACCCACCCTGCGGGTCTCAGAACCTGTGAGTCCTGGTGGGAGCAGAAAGGCCTGTCCTTCTCCCCAGGAGCAGCTCCTGGGTTTGAACTGCTGACCATGGGGTTAGCAGCCCAATGTGAAACCTCGGCGCCTCCAGGGCTGCGGCCCCTCTGCCCGGGGGTTAGGAAGTGTAGAAGTCCCCTGCAGTGACAGGGTGAGTGGTGACCCCAGCTGCTCTTTCTGCTGTGACCTCATCCACGCACCCTCCTCAGGGAGCGTCACCCTCTGCCTCCCTCGCGCAGGCTGGCGGCTCGGGAAGGGCGAAGGCTATGCTGACCTGGAGTACGCTATGATGGTAGCCATGGGAGCTGTCCGCGAGGAGACGCCTGTGGTCACCATCGTCCACGACTGCCAGGTGCCTGCCGCCAGCCAGCGTGCACGAGGGGACAGGCGGGCGGATGGACAGACCCCCTTGCTGAGAGAGAGTGAGGGGGCAGATAGACAGACAGACACCTCCCCCTGCTGAGAGAGAGTGAGGGGGCAGATAGACAGACAGACACCTCCCCCTGCTGAGAGAGAGTGAGAGGTCAGATAGACCCATCCGAGAGAACAGTGAGGACCAAGGTCACCCGAGGGGGCAGAAGGACAGCCCCGCTGCCCCATGCCTGCACTGGCCGAGGTGGTGGGAGCAGCTCCCTCTTT